CCACAACTTTTTAAATAACTGATGAGAACCAGGAGTCTTTGTACCACGGAGACCAGGGGGTATATGCGAAAGTAAAATGCTAACAAAGGCAGGGGAGAATGGAATCGCCGTTTCTGGTTTAGTAACTATCATCAGTCAGTTACACTCAACCTCAGATATTGCATCATATGGGGCTCAAACTAGCAGTCCGTTGGCTAGTAGTGAAATGTTCTAATGGCTAAGCCCCGGGCGTGTTGTCTTATCGGTCGTGATCGGCCAAATTAACTTGGGTAGAAGGAACTAATCTATCGTTCGTCTATTTTTGCTTAGGTACTCAATCGAAGTGGAGTTTGCATACAAAGAGAAAACCAAAAGCTGAGGCATAAGAACTTACGGATAAGAAGGTTGTTAACCAGGCTTTGCACAATCTCATTCCGCGTAAACTTGTCCGAGGTGATAGCGGTGATCAGAGTGTGAGCAATGGCAGGCACGCTGAAGGGCCGAGAAACGCTTTCGTGCAGATGGAAGACCGTTTGTCTGGGAGCGTCAGAGCCTCCATGAAGATGCGCTTGAAAGATAATTCGTTCCCACTCCTCCTCATTTATTTCATCCATCTCCGGTGGCAGAGCTCCGAAATCAAACATGGTTTTCGAGAAGGTATCAGACATTTTGTCGTCCTTGTGGGTGGGTGTCTGTCCTTCTACCTTAAGTGATATTCTGCTCTTCTTGCGTATTGGGATGTCCGTGTCCTCCCGTTCGCTGTCCGTTATACCGAGCGAACGGTCGGACAGGATGGACAACCGTTTCATGGCCGGAAGGAGGGCTTTCTGGACGGTTCTTCTGACTGTCCTTCGCTGTGGTGTAAGGCTCGCCTGTATTTGCTGGGGCAGATTGTCCGGGTTAAAGAAAATTCCCATTGACTGAAAATCTTGCAGCCTGTACTTCGTTGCGTTTGCGGGCACCTCGTCCGTGACACCGTCTCCCAGACTCCTAAGGGAGGGGTTTTTACTCTCCAACAGTCGAGATGAGATCCGGGTGGATCTACCACCGCTCTGTCGCAGCTGGCTCGAAGTTGAGCTCTTCGATTTTTCGATGCAGACTTTATGAAAATATTAAAATCTTAGTGAACGTATTCTTGGGACGTGCAGAAAAATAGCTCTTCAGGGGAAGGTGGGAAAACCCAATTTAGGGTCCACAACAGCATGCGAAAACCCCATCCCTTTGTAATGGGATAAATGATAAATGAGATAAATGGGTGGGGCATATCAAGAGAAAAAAATTAATAAAAAGTAGGGCGTCTAAAAGTCAAAAAGAATGGGAATAATTATGTTTAAATGGCCAACCATTTGCGCGCGATAGATAAAATGAGCAACATAGCCAATAGGAAAGAAGGAGGCCCTCATTAGTGCCCAAACGGACACAATCGTTGACCTTATATCAACTCTCTGTATCAACTCTCCATATATTAACTCCGTATGTAAACTTTCTACATATCGACTTTTTCTATATCATCAATTCTCTATAGCATCTCTATATACAGATTATATTTAGAGATGATATAGAGATAGCTTCTAAGCAAAACTTTGTACCATCTCCATATAATTTCTGTATTCCCTCTATATAATCCCTAAGTAGAGTTGGCGATTGTGTCCAATTGGGCACTCTTGGCCATTCTAACTATCGCGCGCAAATATTCGGTTTTTTAAATAAGCTGTAAAAGACGCTAAAGTAAACTTTCACCGGGAAGTTTCACATGAACTCTAATAGACATCTTTTCGACAAAAATGCAAAACCGATAGTATTTTTTGGTGGAGTACTACATGGGAACAGATGAAAAACCGGTAAGGTTTCCTTGTGGGGCCTTTGAAAGAAACTTATATATTATAATTACCTACTTACAAATTTCAAGTAGGTTTAATTACTCACAATCTTCCAGTTTGCTGAACGTCGGCCGTCGGCCCAGTAGGAATTCGATTATGGCATTGAACTACAAATGGGTCTTCCGAAGGCCTCCGCATATAATAACCGCTTAGGTCAGTATATTAAGCAAAATGGCATTTTGAATTAATCACGGGAATATTTGCTAACTTCATTATTTTAAGTAGGATGAATTGCACAATCTCCAAACCTTCCTCACTCATTCGCATTTATTCTAGTTGGGGTTAGTGGTACTACTAGAAAATGTTCCCCCAATGACCTCGCCCGGGGTTATGGCACACTCCTTCGACATACACGCGCTCGTCGTTGGTCCGTCGGGGGGTAAGCGATGATATTAAAGCCTCTTTCAGTGTCCTCGCCCTCCTTGAGTACCTGCCCCAACTTGCCCTCGTAACTGTTTTATTTTACAGGATTATTGCGGTCTGATTTTTTCCCTGACATGCTCCGCCCGTCCTATCTCCTAAATTCAGGTGCCCGTGAGACTGAGGGGCGCGCTTCGCATGCTCCACAGGCGGCCCCACAAGGTACTCCTACCGAAAAACTTATGTTTAAGTCAGGCCTTGGGCGCTAGAGTCAGTCTTGGCTGGGGGAAAAACCATTTAGTACATGTTTGAAGCCAACAGGATGAGAGTTGGCCTGGTGTAGGTTCTGCATTACTGTCAGCATAATAACCCTTTAAGTACACGGTTATTTGAGGACTTTAAGGCACTTCAACTATTGGCTTTATTATTATAATGCGCCTGTGGCAAGCTTATAGGGAATTTTAACGTCACCGAATAATACAATGCTTTCATAGGAGAATACTTTTACTCCTTATGAAGCCTGAGTAGGTTTGATTTAGTTATTATTTAAATGTCTTAGAATGACGAAATGGAGGAACCAAAATAGTCGGGCAAGGCTGCTGTTTCCGTAAAAGATTTATTAGGCAGTACTTGCTGACAGGCGGTCTATCCTTTGAATTAAATCCGAAAAACAGAAAATATACCCACGGACCAATGCAATGCGACCGTTCTGAAATATATATAATAGGAGTTATATGAGATTTTTCAAACAATACTGCAACAACAAAGTCCCCGATGTTGCCAACAATGTCATAGTAGCTGTTTTCATCGATACTATCTGGTTGTGAAGCGACTCAAGGAAGAACATGTATGCCAACTACAGTGAGGGCTCTGGTTCCGTGTATCAGCGCCTGACGAATAGCCGAACCTGTAGGAATTCAGTTTTATATTTTCTCTTACGTTATTCACGTTATGCAATGAGAGGTAGCAGCTCATGAGCGCTCCTGAAATGCATAGATCCAATAAATACTGCCGTTCTTGCAAGCTACAAACTTTGCTTTAAATTTCTAACACAGTGTTGGTCAAATGCCTGCAATTTTCGCTCTTCTCTTACGCGCACAGCCTACACTTACAACAACAGAGATGGATAGACCGGACGCATACGCAGTACGCGCGAATCTTCTTCGCTTCTTTGAAAGTATCCGGCGAACAGCAGCAATTCGAAAAACAATCTCGTCCTTCCTTCTTCCTTTCAGCAGCAGCAGCAGTATCGCCTTTAAGTGTTTGAAACTGTCTGTTCCCTTAAGCTGACCACTATTTGTCTCGAGACGTGCCTTCTCTTAGTCGGGGCTGAAGCTTGAAAACATATTGGTCCTCCCAGCATCTATGGATACACCGACCGATTTAGCAACCCCGCTGACCAATGACAGCACAGACTGTAGAGTACGTAAGCTTGAAGCTGTCAAGAAGACATCCTCGGAGTAGTCGACATTAGTCCGGGTACAAGCTCAACACTGTTATCTTCGTGCAAAACTTATCCGAAAATCAATCCGATAACGTAACTGAGCAGAATGGGTTATAGGATACAACCCTGTCGAAAAGCAAACCGAATACCGAACGGTTTGGACCCCAACTCGCGTAGTGATCGAGTAGTAATAGATCTTGCCGGTACACGGTGAAGTGTGAAATGCCTCTAGGGATCTTTACTTGCCGGCGCCTGAGTCATCAATTCAGACTTCAAACAGACAGCAGACATTCATTTTGTGAATGATAAAGGCTTTGCGCCACCACATCTTGAGTACCAGGAGTACCACTTGTGTTAATAACCGACACGCTAGTGAAAATCAATTAATAGTAGCTAAAAATAGCTTCCTTGTTTTTTCTTACCACCGAAAGATATTCGCCAGTCATGGCAGATGGCGAATTTCCTGGACAATTAGCGTGAGAGTAGGTCAACTATGCCATAAACGGGTAAAGAAGAGTAACGTAGACAGTCCTCTTGAATGAATTTGAGACACTGGCCATGCTTTTCGGAGATAACAGCTGTTTTAAATGGTTGATTGGTATCATCTGTATTTTTATTTCGTGAATCCATTTTTATTTTTATTTATTCTATTTATTTATTATTTTCATTTTATCATGCCTACTGGTCCAGGTTCAAAAATTAAGTGATTCTTCTTATGAATTCGATGCTAATTTAATAAAGCAGTCACAGGGATTTAAGAGAAATATCTTATTCTAAACACTTCATTTTAGGTTTCTACTTTGAGTTCGAAAAAGCACCCTACCGTTGTTAAGCCATATTTTCTAGACCAGGTGGTTTGGCTTATATTCTATATTTTCTAGAATGAGCGCTCACATTGTGACAGATTCAGCAGGCAGAAGTGTGGAGTAAAGCAAGTTATTACTGAATGGATGCAGTGGAAACCTTGCACGATCGCATCTGAGCAACTTCATTAAAATAGTCGGTGGATGAGTTAGTGGCGACTGAACGTTGCAAAAATAAAGTTGTAGCTAACCTGCCTGTACCGGATGATCGTTAGAAATTGTGCTAAACCTCCTAACAACACGATTTCTGATAAACGTTTTTTGTGTTGTAACTGAATCGGGTAATTTATCTCCCGCTCCAGGAAGGTTTGCATACACGTGTTTAAACTGCAGTGCTTTAACGCATACAGAGGTCAGAAAGAACGTAACCCGGGGTCAGAGCATAGTGGCGGAAACTGAAGAGCGTTGAAAATCATTATTATATCAAAATAAAACAGTGGAAATAAAAGTTTGTTGAATCGATTTCGACAAGAAAGTCCTGTTCCAGTCGCAAAGAACGTTCGCAGTAACGGTAGGAATACCTTTTCTGCTATGCGATTGCAGTTGGACAAACGTGTTATAGATTAGCATTTCCACGGAACTTTTGTTTAAAACTAGAAAGGTGCAAACAGTTTCTCATGGTTATGAAAGTGACTTGAGGCATTTGAGGAAAATGATATGTTTTCCAGCTGAAGCTTTGAAAGCGACATTACGGGAAGCTCATATTTGTCATAATAACGTACAACGTGTAAACTAAATTGAGAAGCCATACATCTTAAGTCAGGCGGGGAAAAAAGAAATAGTGTTGTTTACTGGGCTAATCTTCCCGGGAAAGTAGATAACGGATAATTTTTCAACAACAGTGCAAGCGCAAAAGGCAGCCTGTGATGTCAAAATTCGATGGTAACTGTTCAATAATAAATATATATCAAACTGTTACGAAAAAGGTAACATTTGAATTAAGGACTGCCTAACTGAAAATATTTGCAGGCTAGATCAAACTGAATTGAATAGCAATAATTTTCTCAATATTTACAGACCTATCCTCTCATCTTGAGAAAAGCTGCGGTCTTTGGCAAACTCCTGTTGCAAGACCTCCAGAAGACGCAGTTTTTGCTTTGTGGTGAGATATTTGAGAATAAAATCCTCCAAAAGGTCGAGGTTTCGCAGAAAGAATGCAATCGCTTCACGGTACGTCATTACAATCTTTTACCTGCAGTAAAAAAATGTAGGTAAATATGAATCGTCTATTTGCCTTCGATTTTAAGTAGAACATGACTCACAATTAAATGTTTCGCTTTGTTCTCCGTACTTAAAAATATGACCTGAGTTTATATCTTACATAGGATTTATATAACTTAAAGCACGGGAAATGGTATACGAATTTGAAGCGACAATGTAAATATTGGAGACGGGGACCCTCGGACTGGACGGCGCACAGGACGTGGATTTTAACCCATCCCCCGGTGCCGGAAGAATTTTTTCTCCCCTTTTTCTCATTTTTGAGCCCCCAACTTGATTGATTGTTAGAGGAAAACGTGATTAATAATTTATTGATAAAAAGTAAATTTTGAAACATAGGTACTATATATATAATTAGTTAATCAAAATTCTTCATCCCCAGACCCCCGTACCCCCCCCCGGGCGCCATTCTTGTCCAATCCGGGGATTGTGCTTGCAGGGCGCAGTTGAAAATATTTTATTGTTATTTACTAAGCGTAGAAACTAACTGTAAACAAATAAAGTCAAATTCTGTCCGAAATATATATCCCGCGTTCCAAGTATTCATAAAATTTAAATGTGCAGCGATAACTAGACATGGAATACATACTTAAAAATTTAGTGCTTATGTGATGTCCCCAAGCTTGGTATCTGAGCCTGTCCGTTTGCTATTAATTTTCGTAAAGCCCGGCTAGATGTTCTGAATTCCTTGTCTTTTCAGGTCCCTATTTTTAATCTTGAATTCATCAATAAAACAGAGAGTGTAGCAAGTGGGTATAATTTTCCGCTGTCTGAAACCTGAAAGTCAAAAGATTTGAAGGCAGTACTGGAAGATAACTAATCACACGTATGATCGAGGTTCAGGCATAGAATCGCTTTTGTCTCAAACTAAATTAAATGCTATAAACATTTTTCAAGCCTCTATTTCGCGCGGTATGCTACTTTTTAACAGGATGCAAAAGCAACGTCCACTATTTGACCCTACGGGGACGGTAGAATCCGGGGGTGAAGAATTTTGATTTACGAACTCTATTTATAGTACCCATGTTTCAAAATCTACTTTTTTATCAATGAATTATTAATCACTTTATCCTCTAACAAAAAATCAATTTTGGGGCTAGAACATGAGATAAGGGGGCCTCCCGCTGCGAAAACATTTTTCCGGCGGCGGGGGGACGGATTGAAATCCCCATCCTCAGTCCCATCGATTTGAGCATGAAATGTATTTGTTAATAGCACATATGAACTTCTTGGAATGCGAGTTGAAGTATTGTAAAATCGTTTAATCGTTTCTGAACATTCGGAGAAAATTTAAATTCATCTAAAATGTAGAAGGATCCCTGGTTTGCCAAATGCACAAGTCTTCTGATAGACCTTGGCGCTTTGTTAAAGCAATGTTTAAGCCCATAACAAAAAGGATTTGTAGTTAGCCGAAATATAAATACAAATTAGGTTGAATAATTAAGTTTTCTTTATCACTGTCAGCTTTAAAGTTAACTTGTAGTATCCAGAAAACATATTTCAATTAACCTACATTATCATGCAATTCAAAGTTCGGCGTTGGCGTAAGGCAATACACCTGC